GATGCATTATGTAAAGGTCCAATTCCCAATGAGAAATGTAATTGTGTTGTATACCTACAATGTACCAATAAAAGAATTAAAAAAAAAAAAATATCATGCCGCGATTGACGCTGCAAGGAAGTAACAGAGGAAGGAAGGCTGGACAGATGTGCACAGCAGCTTCCCAGAGCAAGGAGCAGTTCTGGAAACACATCCAGCCATGAGGCAGTGGATATGCAGAGTGGGTGCATCTCAGGAGAGGGCAATCGAAAAGCAGGGACATGCATGAGAGCTAACATTGTATAAGTGCGCGTCTTTGAGTGAGTTCAGTCTCCAAGCTCAAGAGTCTAGAGAAATCCAAGTGCCAGGGAGGCAGAGGCAGGAGGATCTCTCAAATTCAAGGCCAGCCTGAACTATACAGGAAGACCCTGTCTCAAAAGATCAATAAATAAATACGCTAAGTTGCTAAGTTGCCCAGGCAGGGCTCACATTTGCACTCCTCCTGCCTTAGCCTCCCAGTGCTGGGATTACAGGGGTGCACACCATACCCAGTTAGACTGCATTTTAACCACTTAGCAGTCCAATCATTTAAATACAGGATGACCAAAAATTGCGTATTTTTAAAATTTTTATAAGATAATAGGAAATATAAAAAAAGATAATTTTATCAAATTTATTTAATACAAGAATGGACTGGTTGAAATGAACCTGCCCGAGCGACACTTGTGGTAGTCAGTATGTGAACAAATGCTCGGCCTGAGTGGCACTTGGGGTAAACTGTTAGGTGGTTAAACAAACACTCCAAGTAAGTGTGATGCTGGTGTGTCTGGGAAGCACTTGGGAAACGCTGCTGCAGTTGAAGCAGAGACAAAACCCATGTGATCCTTGTAATTCCAGAGTTTGTCACACAGTAGTCACTCAAAAGCTCGGGCTGAACTGCTGAGACAGAGGAACGTAATGAGCAGTGGTCCACTTGGAAAAATACAAACATAAAATGAAACAGTATGTATTCTTAATTCTTGACTATTGGATTTACTAACCAACAAACCAACAAAAATCCAATCCCCTCCCATTTGAATGCTTAGCGTTAAGACGCTGAGAAGTACCTGAAACACTTACAGGAGACATGTAGTAAGGTGTGCCAACAAATGTTTTCGCAAAACTTGTATCGTGGTTTAATATTCTCGCTAGCCCGAAGTCTCCGAGCTTGACATTTTGCTTGCCATCCAAGAAAACGTTGGCTGGTTTCAGGTCCCGGTGCAGCACAGTGTGGCCACTGTCGCTTCGCCTGTGACATTCCTTCAGTGCCAGCGTCAACTGAGTCATCACCCGAAGAACGAATTCTTCGTCTAAGTACTGCCTGAAGTGAGAAGCAGTCACATAGCATAAAACTTCCAAGTAAAATCCCCGGAGATATGGGATGAGGTGAACTACCCAGTTTTTCAAGTATTCAAATAGAGAATTAAATTATGTGGATATAAAATATGGGTATTGACTTACCAGTGATTTTTCTGAATGCTACTGACCCACCGAACAAATACGGCATACACTTCCACATCACTAAGAACTCATCCCTGATCCTAACACAAAATACTTAACAGGAACAAAATGACAGCCGTTTTCAGCTTACATTTAAAAGACTGCCTGTACACCTGTAATCCCATCACTCAGGAGGCTGAGGCAGGAAGATTGCTGCGAGGACATCCCTTGATACATAGTGAATTTAGGGCCAGCCTGAACTACATCGGGAGGCCCTGTCTCAAAAGAAATAAAATAAAATGACTGCCTTTACCTTTCCCTGGTTCCCTTCGTAATTACACTAGCCAGGTCTCCGCCTTCACAATATTCCATCACAATGTACAGTGTTGTGTTGGTTCGGTCAATGATTCGATCGTAGTAGCGGACGATGTTCGGATGTTTCAGCTCACGGAGCAGATTCACTTCGGAAACAAGCATCTGTTTCTCGGCCTCTATCATGGAGCCATAGTCAAGCTCTTTCCAAACGAGTATCTGAAATAAGGTATGAGCAAACTGGTGACACTCAAAAACAAAGAATCAAAGTTCCTGAGTTTAAAAAGTTACCTCCCTTTTAAATACATAACTTAGTTCAATAAGCATCAAGAGCCCGGAGTTTATCGCCACAATCTTCCTTTAATTTTTAAGCAGTAAAGGACGCTGTGGAGGAAGGAGCAGAGGGTGCCTACTCTCAGGGTCCCCGGATGCGGGAGCTCAGTCAAGATCCCTGGTCAGCAGCCAGCAGCTTCCGCTCCACTGTTTCTTCCGTACCGGGTCCACCCGCACCCTGGGAAACAGGAATCCAAGGCTTGGGGCTCTGCTGGTCCCGCCCTCCTCGGGTGTCAGGGCTGCTAGCGTTTCCTAACAATATCTCAGCGTCTGCCCCCTGTCACCAACTGGAGACCCTAGGCGAGGAAATACAGGGGAGATGGAGGGAACGGGAAAGAAACAAATACCTCCTCGATGCCGACCTAGGAGAGGCCCGAGGCTTCAGGCACCCACACCACAGGCCTGGCGGTTCCCCGGCGGGCGCGGAGCGCTCGCCCCGGCTGAGGCCTCCCCGGTGGGGGCGGGGACAGGGGAAGGGCTAGCGCTCACCTTGCCGTCGATCTTCCTCCGGATCTTCTGGCAGCGGCCGTAGGAGCCCGTGCCGATGGTGTACAGCACTTCATAGTCCTCCACCCGGGACGGCATGGCCAGGCCGCGCCGCGCTGCCTCCGCAGAGCCGCAGCAGCCCTAGATCGGTCGCCCCAGAGCGCACTGCCTGGCCGCCGGCCTAGCAGCGTTTAACCGCCGCGCACTCTGCCCTTGCAATCTATTGGCCGACGGCGAGGCCACCTTGCTTCTCTGATTGGCTAAGAAAAACACAGCACCCTAGGCATCCTGGGAAAAGCGTGTCGCTAGGCAACCTCGTCGGCGTCCGGGTCTTTGGTGCCGCTCGACCTCTAGGGAGAAGAGGGCGGAGCTAAATTAAAAATTGAGCGGGAAAGAAAGCCGTAGCGGGTGGTTCTTGTCAATTGTATCCTTAAACTGAGGTCGCCAAGGGAGCTGAGGTCAGGGGATCTGTTTTAAGACTCTTTGGTAACCGGAACCTGGGCGAGGCCTCGTGGAAGACTTGGTGAGAGAGAGCAAGGAAAAATACAGCGCTTCTCCAGGAACACTAACCTATACTGCAGGAAATAGCGTTATTGTTATTTCTCACGAGGAAATGGAAGCACAGAAAGGTTAAATCATTTATTTAGGTTCAGCAGCCAAAAAGAGCAGACTTGATGCAAAAGTAGTGGATACTCATAGCAAAGATTTAAGATTAGACATGACTTTAGAGCACAGCCGTCGGAGATTGTATTTCTGAACACCAAACTTAGAGGCCTGCTCAGAATACAAAGGCAGTGTGCAACAACCCGGAACAGAATATGGAAGTCCCTGATGTTTGAGAACATTCAGGAGAAACTGGCCCTAAGATAGGAACAGCCGTTTTTCCCTTAGGACTTCTACCAAACAAGTTATCTGTACTGCCGAGCACATCTTTCATTGATAGTACTTTATTGAAAGTGGTCTCAAAGCCAAGCGCAGGACGATTGCTGCAAGTCTGAGGCCAGTCTGGGCTACATAGTGAGTTCAAAGCCAGTCTAAACTACGTAGGGCACCCTGGCTCAAAAAACAACAACAACAACAACAAAAAGAAAGTAGCCTCTTTTAGGTGCCCACAGAAACCAACGTTTTAAGCTCACCTAGAATAGAACAGCTTCATTTTACCTGGGGGAGGGGACCCGAGCCCTTCCTCTAGGGCTCCTTGGAAGAATGTGTGGATTCTTACCAGAAAGCTAATAATTTGGCGGTGCATAAATAGATCAATTTTCTTTAAATATCTTTTCAAGTCGGGCGTGGCACACACCTGTAATCCCAGCACTCAGGAGGCTGAGGCAGCAGAATCATTGTGAATTTGAGGCTAGCTGGGCTACACAATGAGCGAGACCCCGTCTTAACCAAAAAATAAAATAAATAATAATAATTAATAAGTAAAATCTGTTCAGCAAGGGATTGAAAAGAACCTGGTTTTCTGTTAATAAGAATTACAGCTAGGCATGGTGGCACACACCTGTAATCCCAGCACTTGGAAGGATGAGGCAGAAGCTTCGCCTCGAGTTCCAGGGCAGCCTGGGCTATATAGTTCAGGGCCAGCCTGAATTACAAAGGGAGACCTTGTCTAAAAAAAATCCAAAACAAACAAAGAATTACAAACCTCTCTACATTAAAAATAATTTGTTACATGCACTGAATATAGCCTAAAATAATTTGTTTTGGTTTTGGTTTTTTTGAGACAGTTTTTTTTGGTACCTGGGATCGAACTCAGAACCTTGCACTTTCAAGGCAGGTGGCAGCACCACTGAGCTAAATCAATGGCCAGCATAAAATAATTGGAACTGCAAGCCAGGAGGATTTTTAAATTAACATTCAAGGGCACTGTTTTGTGTCAAAGGAATAGGACCAACTCAGGTTTCAGAAGTTATGGAAGGAGCCACAAAAACTCGAGACCATTGGCTACACACACACACACACACACACACACGGGTGTGTGTGTGTGTGTGTGTGTGCCTCTTGCAGATTGGTACAGTGGACCTTTGAGTTATGACCCACCTGACATACAACTTGAGTTATGACTGGAATTTTAGTTTTAACTTACAACCAAAGTCTTGAGTTATGACCAGAATGCTGGCTGCTTGTGCTGCCGGATGGTCTCCGATACAGATTTCACCCCTAAAGAGTTCTGGAAAGAACCTTACAACATCCTTTCCTGTGTGGGGTTAACTGAGAAATTCTGGGCCAGTGTCTCTCTAAGGACACTGAGATCCGCCTGTGTACAGGGAGAGACTGTGAAGGCTGTGCTGCTGTCCCCTGCTCTGCTTCCCAGGCACCATGAACTGAGCAGCTTTGCTCTGCCACACCCTCTGCCATGTTTCTGCTTGGAGCCAGCTGACCATGGACTGAAACCTCAGGAACTGTGAGCCAAATTACACCTCTCCTCCTTTAACTGGTAGGTGTTGGGTATTTGGTATCAGGGACCAGAAACCTGGCCATAGAGCCTTCAAGCACTCAGTTTTAAAATGCATCCAGCTCTGGAGTGGAGACTAAATATCTGAGCAGGAGCCATCCCAAGAATGTGGCAAGCAGTTTCTGGGCTATGTATTCATCCAGCAAATATTTACTGAGCGCTTACTAGAGCCAGGTGTAATGATAGGCATTGATGGGCTGGGTGTTCATTAAGAGAGAGACAATGGAGCTGCGATGGCCTTGATAATGAACAGAGTGGCAAAGGATGGCATAACAAACCCTAATTACTGGCCAGATGAGCCCACATGATTGGGGGAGGGTTGGGGAGGGCAGCCTGCAGAGAGCATGGGACACAGGGGCAGATAGTGGTGGCCGAAGAGCACTTGGAGTCAACTGGGGACTGGTTCCTGGAAACTCCTTCACGGCATTTCCTCCCTGCTTCCTGCAGAGCTCGTTCATTGTTTCAGACTCAGCTCCAGACCAGTTCCTTCTTTGAAAATGTCCCCGAGTAGCTGGGTGTGGTGGCACATACCTGTAATCCCAGCACTCTGGGAGGCTACGGCAGGAGGATCACAAATTTGAGGCCAGCACAGGCAACTTAGTGACTTACCAACATATTGTCTCAAAATAAAGAATAAAAAAGACCCATGGATGTGGCTCAGCATGACGGCCCTGGGTTCAGTCCTCAGAACCTCCAAATTTTTTTTTTCCCTGACTGATTTCAACCCGCTGTGATCTCCTGATTGCTCCCAAGTGTGTCTGACTGCTCTACACTTTCGTAGAATTTTCCAGAGACTGGGCTCTCACCCGACCCTCCTGTGTATCCTCCATCCAGTCTTCGTCATTAAGTCAGAATCTCAGAATCCAACAAATACACACCGAGGCCGAGCCGGGTGCTGGGTGCCCAGTGCCAAGGCCCTGGCAGTGAGGAGACGCTCAGTGCTGCAGGTGGGGGAGATGTAAGTGAGGCCAAAGAGGAGGAATTCGGCCACTAGGAATGGTGGGGAGGACTGAGAAGGAAGGAGAGCTGAGACATTGCAGTGGGGCCGGTGGACCCAGCCCTGGGGCCCTTCCATGGCTGCTCCCACACACAGCGGGGTCACCGTTCGTACATTGCTTACTACAGGCACTGCTGTTATCGGGTTTTTTCTCTTGTTTTTGTCAGTACTGAGGATTGAACCCAGGACCTTTGTACTGAGCTACATCCCCAGCCCTTTCATTATTTTTAATTTTGAGACAGGGTCTCGCTACATCACTAAGTTCCCCAGGCTGGGCTTCAACTTGCAATTCTCCTGCCTCAGCCTCTCAGAGTGTGCCACCACTCTTGTTGTTGTTGTTGAACAGAGTCTCTGTGTGTGTAGTTCAGGCTGGCCCCATTCTTATGATTCTCCTGACCCAGCCTCCTGAATGCTGGAATTACAGGTATGAGCTACCATGTCTGGCTCTTGTTTTCCGTTTTTACTGAGATTTGGTGAAATCTCAAAGGAGAGATTATTTGTGCTTTGTATTTGCTGTCCACAAGGGCTCTGCTCAGAAGACTAATGAGCATCTCAAACTTAAGAGGTCCCAAATCAAGCTTGTGATTTCTTTTTTTTTTTCTTTTTTTGGTACCAGGGATCGAACTGGGGACCTTGTGCTTGCGAGCCAGGTGGGCTTGTGATCTTTTTTTTTTTTTGAGGCAGGTTCTCGCTAGGTAGTTCAGCCTGAACTGGAACTCACTGTGGAGCCCAGGCTGGCCTCGGACTCCCTGAGATCCTCCTGCCTCAGCTTCCTGAGGGCAGGGATTATAGGTGTGTGCCACCACGCCGGGCTCCAGTTTGTGATTTATGCTATTTGGCTTCTCTGTCTTAAGTTACTAATGTGCATGGTTTTGTTCGTGTTTGTTCTGTTCCCGTCAGTGTCCCCAGCACCTAAAGTGTGGCAGGCCCTGCGAGCATTTGCACCCTGAATGATCAGAGGCCCGTTGTTCTCAGCATCCTTTTTTACATTACACTAGAGACCCACTAGAGGGCTGCAAACCACTTGGAATCAGCCAGGAGCTCCCAAGCTTTACAGAGTCAAAGATTTAAAACAACACACCTTTCACCAAGTCTTATCTCCACAGTTTGCAGCAGATTGAAGTCAGGGAATACAGAAATTGTTTAAAATGCTTCGGAAAGAAAAATAAAAGAGATCCCTTGTAACAATCAGACCCTAGGAGATGTTTAAAAGCAAAAGGTGGCCCGGGATTTAGCTCAGTGGCACCTGGCCTGCCTCGCAAGCGCAAGGTCCTGAGCTTGATCCCCGGTACCGGAAGGAAGAAAAAAAAAAAAAAGCAAAAGATGCATGATGTAGTAGGCACTCAATAAATCTAACTGCGTTCTAGAAGGAGGAATGGGGCGCGAGGGGCACAGGTCCCAAGAGCAGCGCACCGGTGGATGGGGACAGAACAGGACGCGCGGACTGAGAGACAGCTTCCGGCAGCTGGCGGAAGAATACAGCGGAAAGACATTGATCATAGCCCGGTTACACTGATCAGGCAGAGTTTCAAAGTGGCACCCAAAGGTGCAAATTAGGGAAAAACAGATTTCCGTTCAATGCAATGACAAACCTTTAGACAAACAGCCATTCACAAGTTGTACGTGGTTTTTCGAGTTATCTGTACATTGCGGTTATTTGTTATCTCCAAGAATATTAATCACACCGCATTAGATAAGCGTGTTTTAAAGCAAACACCTCCCCAGCTGGCCTGGCTCGTCGCGTGGCTCTGAATCCTGACCTGGGTGGC